TCTGACTTAAAATTGTTTGTCAGATAGAATTACAGTTTGAAAGAATTATAGTTGATACAGAGAATTATTATAAAGATTAATTAACTTCCAGTCGACCTTTAAAAGCCTGAACAGTATTTGTAAAAAAATATAATTTCAGTTTTTTTTTTCAGGTTTTCTATTCGGTTTTATTATTTTTTATATTTGTTATCTCAACTCCGTCAGTTGTAAACCGATTCGGGATTCATTCAGGTGGGCCGTCAGCTTGTTTTCCATTCTAAGTTGTATAAAAAAATATAGAAATTTTATCAAAATCGGTTTAGTAGTTTATTACTAGTTCTGCTACAATTGAAAACAGTTTTTTTTGTGGTACATACTCTTATATAAGATGTATTTTTAAATTCTCACCTATCGTGTTATTCTGGATTGTACCTGCACATGTTCGTTATTTGATTTCTTAAATCACAGTACCCTCGTAACCTAGCTCGAGGACCAGGCAACTGTGCGTAAGCATGATCGTGTAAGTCTTATTTATTTAGTTTGTGCAGTAGACGCAAGATTGACGTCGAAGTAGTGATTGATTATTTCTCTTGAGAAGGGACCAGCGACATTTTATTATTGGGGCTTCTGGTTACACACAATCAGCAATCTAAATAAAGTGTATATCTTGCTAGATGTTTCAACTTTCTTTCTTATTTAAGAGCTTTTTTTTTATACAACTTAGAATGGCAAACAAGATGACGGCCCACCTGATGGAAAGTGGTAACCGTCGCCTATAGACATGAGCAGTACCATGGACATAACAGAGTATACTGTTTCGCCCATGATACCCCCCATGCGTTGCCATTCCTGAGGACTTAGGTGTTATTCCTCTGTACCCAGTAAATTCACGCCATATCCCACCCTTCAAATCGAAACACAGCCATGCAAACACAACTGCTTCACGGTTGAAACACTTCCTCATTCCTTATCCTATGTTTTTATAGATCCTATGTGTCATTCTTGTGATATCCTATAGTTTAAAATACTTATAGTTTCCTGGCACTGTATAAGCCATTCCCAGTAGACTCATACGCATACTTGCCAACGAATCACATTTGTACTGCAGGTATTTTATGTATTCTGATTTCTCACTGCACAATCTGCACCAACCTCCAAGCGGTTACCCCTGGAAATCAACATGGTTTACTTTCATTGAATTCACCATGATGGGCTAACTGACCTGCATTCATTCTCACCTATCATCTTCCACGGGTGCCTCGCTGGTGTATACCGATAGCGCAGGCGGGGTAACCATTAAATTGGATCTGCAATTGGATGTATTTGCCTCCAACTTGCTGGAATTTCGTCGAGTGACCACAGAGTATTTGTGTTCAGACGTTTTTTGTTTCAGTTGAGTATTTTTGTATTATTTTTTTTTATATTTTTGTGTAATATTCCTTTTTGTATGTTATTGTACTCATGCTTTTCTGGGTGAGCGTATTGGAAGACTGTAAGGTTCACCCAGTGGTTATAATAAATAAATAAATTTTCGCCCATTAAAAAAAAACAATAGACAGTTAACGGGGAATTTATGTTAGTATTATGACTTAATTTTATTATAGTTTGCATGTAAACACAACATTACATTTAAAATACATAATATAATTAGTTTGTTCGCGAGATATAGTCGTATCGCGCGTGATCCTCGTCGGGTGGTTCGCGTATGATACGGCTGTAATTATCCACTTTCATCGTATTTGTATTTGATGTGTGCACACTACAGTGATTTGATGTCATTTGGAATGTAGATTAGTGCGATGTATGTACATGGTTAATGTAATCATCTAACGCCATGCCAGTATATTATATAGCTTACAGTGTACGTACAGGGAATCGAATTTATAATATATTTCTTTTTATTATTTGTTGAGTCAACTAGCTCTAATTACAGGTTGCTCAATAGTTACTATATCTCATAATGTTTACCATAGTTTCTGTATAACTCGCCACAAATAAATACCAGTGGGAGACTTTGTACAAGTCGATTGCTTCGGTACCTCTCTCTGTCACATTCGTGTTTCTACCGTGAAGCAGTTGTGTTTGCATGGCTGTGTTTCGGTTTGAAGGATGGGATATGGCGTGAATTTGCAAGGTACAGAGGAATAACACCTGAGTCCTCAGGAATGGCAACGCATGGGGGGGGGGGGGTATCGTGGGCGAAACAGTATACTCTGTTATGTCCATGGTACTGCTCATGTCTATAGGCGACGGTTACCACTTTCCATCAGGTGGGCCGTCAGCTTGTTTGCCATTCTAAGTTGTATAAAAAAAATGCTTTGTCGCTTCAAAGAGCGACTATCCTTAAGACGACAATTTCTTGCCCATTACAATATTAGTTAATATAAAACTTTAGTGGCAAAAAACATATAAAGATTTAAAAAACTATTACATTTTACCGCTTGTATAACGGATTGTGTTCCGAGGAATTGTTTGAAATGATGCCCACAGCTACCTTTTATCACCGCCCCGCTCGCCATCGACAGGAAATACATCCTCACACGCTTGAGTCTAAATGGTTACGTACAGTGCGATTTCAAAGGAATTTACTCCTGCGAACGCTCAAGCTGTGGATAGATCAGATTCTCCCAAGAGACTACAGTATGGGGTTCTTCAATAAGGATATATTAAAGTTTATTTAGGGTCGGCAACGCGCACGTGACACCTCTAGTGTTGCAGGCGTCCATAGGCTACAGCACTGTTTCTCTACCATTTTTATGTCGCGACCCACGTAATAGCCAAAAAGTTAAGTGAAAAATTTTGCGGCCCCATCACTATAATATTGTAAAAATAATTTTTAAATAAGATTTTATTTAAACGTTTAATAATAAATTTTTATTATTTTATTTTATTAAGTTAAACCAGCGGAATCTGAATTACATTCTGTATTCATTACTAACACACCACTAACTTCACAATAGGTGCTAACAAGTGGCGACTAAAGAAAAACTTTTGACCGTATATGAGGCCGATGGGGAAGAAAGGTTCTTAAGTGATGCCCTCGTATAGGCGAACGCAGTGTAGGACGACCTCCCACTAAATGGAGTGACTACCTGAAATGCATTGTAGGGAGTAAAAGGGTGCGGGTCAGGATCGTTCTTTATGACAATCTATGGAGGAAGCTTTTGTCTAGCAGTAGACGGGTAATGGCTGAAATGATAATGTGAGGCCGTATGATCCCGGCTTAGAATATTTCACTTATCCCGTGGGTGTCGTAAGAGACGACTAAAGGAGGGCCAGGGATGGGCAGCAGCGTCCCTCTTAAAATATCTCTAAAGCCCAACTGCGGTTGCCAAACTGTCTGCTAAGCGTGGAAACTACTGTCAAAACCCCCAAAGGGGAGATTTGTGTTCAACAGTGGACAGTTAAAGGCTAATATGATAGATAGATAGATAAACTTTTTATTTGAGCCATTTATGACACACGTAAATTTACAAATGAGTTTTTTTTTTTTTTTTATACAACTTAGAATGGCAAACAAGCTGACGGCCTACCTGATGGAAAGTGGTAACCGTCGCCTATAGACATGAGCAGTACCATGGACATAACAGAGTATACTGTTTCGCACATGATACCCCCCATGCGTTGCTATTCCTGAGGACTCAGGTGTTATTCCTCTGTACCCTGTAAATTCACGCCATATCCCACCCTTCAAACCGAAACACAGTCATGCAAATACAACTGCTTTACGTTTGAAACACGAATGGGACAGAGGTACCCAAGCAATCGACTTTTGTACAAAGTCTCCCTCTGGTAATCCCTCTTTATACAATCAAATTATTTACACTTTTTAAAATATACAACAAAAGATAAAATATGAAAATATGGTTTCGCCGTGTGTGTCGCAGTGACCCAAATAGGCTACAGCTCAGTGATGGTTTTGCTTAAAAGCAAAGCACTGATTTTCAGCTATAGCCTGAAGTTAGGCTACACGGACGCGTACAACAAACCCAGAGTGTAACCTGTGTAACAGCCAAAGATAAAATTGTATTATATAGATACATATTTATGTAAATGATGCATAAATAATATATTTTATTAATTAATTAAACATACAATATAAATAATTCACCACAATAATTATTACGTTGAATGATGTAAACAACTACTAAGGAATGATTTTAGCTATTAGTAGAAGCGTATATTGAATGGAATTAGTAGTCGAACGATTTGAAAATCATTCGAATAATCCCAATTAACCCCTTGCACTCCAGCGGCGCCGATACGACGCCCGGCCGATTCGAAGTGGCAACTCGAGCGGCGCTGCTGCGGCGCCCGAGTGTTGTAAAACTTTAAATCGAACTACGCTGCTACGACGCTATGGTCTTTGTAACTGGATCTCCTTATTTACAATATGCGATAAGAAAGTTTTCACGGAAGTACTTTCGTGGACTAGGCTCTGCTTACATTGCAAGCGAAAAAGGCCTCGAGTGCATAGGGTTAATTGTTGAATCTAATAATTAGTAATCGGATTGATAAAGTCGCGTATCACTACGTTAAATGAAAGAAAAGTTTCAAGATCATATTATTTTTTAAGAGACTGCGACCCCCTTTAATAACAAACATAACTCTCCCACGGATTACGACTCACCGGTTGAGAAACGACGGTTTTTTTTAATTGTTGAAAATGGCATGGTAACCCCACCTGCGCTACCGGTATACACTGGCGGGGTACCAGTGAAAGGTGATAGGTGACGATGAAAAGGAAGGTCAGTTAGCCCATCGTGACTAATTGAAGAGAAACGACGGGTTACAGTGACCGTCTACTATCAGACGGGCTGTATGTTTGTTTGCTGCCTGTGCGGTTTTAAAAAAAACATAATATTAATAGGATTACCAAATTCAGTGTATAAAATAAGAACGATAGATAGACAAGTCATTGTTTCTGCCTACCCTAATAGGAGACAAGCGTGATAGATATGTATGTATGTATGTAAAATAAGAACACAAACTTGCATGCTTTGTGTACTGCTTGCTTGCAGACCCTTGGGCGGCCACGATGCGCGAGCCTGGCCTGGCGTTAGAAGTGAAACCGGCCAGTGGCGTGCTGTCCGGACTGTCCCGCATGGAACTTACTGTCCGGGTATACGCCGACTGCTGGGGACTGTACCGGGATCAGGTTATAATACAGGTATTTAAATAAGAAGCTGATATAATACTGTACTTTATTATCATCATTTACCAGAGGGAGATTTAGTACAAAAATCGTTTGCACCTCTGTCCCCTTCGTGTTTCTACCGTGAAGCAGTTGTGTTTGCATGGCTGTGTTTCGGTTTGAAGGGCGGGATATGGCAGTGAATTTACTGGGTACAGAGGAATAACACCTGAGTTCTCAGGAATGGCAACGCATGGGGGGTATCGTGGGCGAAATAGTATACTCTGTTATGTCCATGGTACTGCTCATGTCTATAGGCGACGGTTACCACTTTCCATCAAGTGGGCCGTCAGCTTGTTTGCCATTTTAAGTTGCATAAAAATAAAAATCAAGTCAATTCTCAAACGTGAACAGTCGCACGCATACAAATGGTAACGGAATTCGGGGGGGGGGGGGGGGGAAGGGATTGTTGGCAATGGAGTTTGACAGCCCCATTGCTAGCAATATGCCTTATTAGGTCGACCTCCACGTGGTTCCCTCTGGAAACCATCGTGAACAGTTCTTGTTGAATTCGTCACAATGGGCTAACTGACCTACTTCATCCTCACCTATCATCCTTCACTGGTGCCCCGTCGGTGTATACCGATAGCGCGGGTGGGGTAACCATTCCATTATCATCTATTAAAAAAAAGGTAACGGAATTGAACAAAATAATTCTAATAACCAACCAAAATCTTCATACTTTTATGATAATAAATGATCGTTCTTTTTACCAGAAACACCGCCAACTATTCTATTCCCTTTAGTATAGAAAAAAAAAACTTGTTTTAATGGCTAACAATGTATCAAATGGTGTCTCAACCACGGCTCGATATCGACAAACTTATTCCGCAGAGAACAGAATCGTCCAAACATCTCGCCTCGAGGACTATAATGTGTTTACGCGCTCTTCCACGTCGTGTTTGCTTTTTCTAATGTTTGTTATATGGTGTATAGAAAAAGTGACCCAGTAAACGTGAAATCAGTGTAACGCGAAATCTATACGATGGTATTATATATAATATATATTCTTTTATTTATTTAAACTTAAATGCACACAGTGAAACTATACACATAGGGGGGAAAGGGATTGTTAGTAATGGAGACTGAGTATCCCATTGCTAGCAATATACCCAACCAGGTCCACCTCCTCGCGGTTCCCCCTGGAAACTATCATGGTTAATTCCTGATGAATTCATCATGATGGGCTAACTGGCCTGTTTTCATTCTCATCTATCACCCTTCACTGGTGCTCCGCCAGCGTATACCGTTAGCGCAGGCGGGGTTACCATACCATTTTCACAAATCGAAAAAAAAAAAAAACTATACACATATGACGGAGTTAACACCGGGCTGTGTTCTAGTGTACCAGTCGACTATTGGGCAAATCGAAAAATAAGTAGGCGGTGCATTATTGAAGGAATATGAAAAGTAATATTTAATATATTCGTATATTATAAACATATAATTTGGTTAATATAAACATACATCTCGTCAAATGGGTCCCGGCATAAAATAGGCCATCCCTTCCTTTCCGTGGGCGTCGTAAGAGGCGACTAAGAGACTAAGAGAGAGGGAATATGGTAGAGGGATGGGCAGCAACGTCCCTCTTAACACATCTGTAAAAGCCTAACTGCGGTTGCCAACCCGCCTGCCAAGCGTGGCAAGTATTGATAAAACTCCTCTTATAGGGAAGGCTAATAAAGTTTAAAGGGAAAATGAGAAAAAAAGGGGAATGAAGTTTATAAATCAGCCTTTTTTAAGAAATAGGAGCACAATTAATGTTTAAAAGCTAATTTGCTATGTTATATGATTGCTCTAGCTTTTTGCCTGCTTTGCTACGTTAATGCTTCATTAAAGTTCATCACTTAGGATCTACAGTAGAGCAATAAAGATGATCCTTACACTATGAACTTAATAGCGAGAACATTATAAAGGGACCGGTTTAATTTAATTATCCATTCCTCGCTAAGATTTACCATTTTGTGTCTAATTGTGTTGTCTGGGTATCCGGCACAATCCTATGACAGTTTCAAAACTAGATAAGGGACACAGTAATAGTACTTAACTGTTATTCTATTCATAACATAGTTTACGAGTTATAATCAAGTTAAATTAAGGAATTGAATAATCATGTGTTTTTTTTATACAACTTAGAATGGCAAACAAGCTGACGGCCCACCTGATGTAGAGTGGTAATCGTCGCCTATAGACATGAGCAGTACCATGGACATAACAGAGTATACTGTTTCGCCCATAATACACCCCATGCGTTGCCATTTCTGAGGACTCAGGTGTTATTCCTCTGTACCCTGTAAATTCACTGCCATATCCCACCCTTCAAACCGAAACACAGCCATGAAAACACAACTACTTCACGATTGAAACACGAATGGGACAGAGGTACCCAAGCAAACGACTTTTGTACAATGTCTCCCTCTGGTTAAAAGGAAGATCATTAAAAAAGTATGATTTGGTGTTTTAGCTTAATTTATAATTTTTTTTAGCATCAATAATAACCGCATAAAAGTACTATGTCACAGCTTTATCCATAATTCCTTCTACCAGCTATTCTATATTGAATTTGTCACTACGAGATCGGCAATTGAAAAAGTTTTCTCCATCCCGGTGCTCGGTTTCTCGAACTATACGACCGTATAGTTTTAAAAGTTTAGAGTAAAGTTTGTGACGGACGAACTAAACGCAACGACGTTACATTGACCCTATTTGTGTATTGTACACTGAGTTTTGATCACACAGGCGTTTGATGTATCGTTACATATAGAGTTTTTATATTTAAAAACATCTGAAAATCTAGTTAAAAATCGATAACCTGTATTCTAATATTGATAACGTAATTAAACTCTAACTTAAACTGGTACTTAATAATCGTTTCAAACACTATTGCCCAACATTGAAACACAGGGGAAAAGGGATTGTTAGCAATGGAGTTTGACAGCCCCATTGGTATTAATATGCCCTATTAGGTCAACTTCCCTTTGGTTCCCTCTGGAGACCATTGTGAACAATTCTTATTAAATTCGTCACGATGGGCTAACTGATCTGCTTCATCCTCACCTATCATCCTTCACTGGTGCCCCGCCGGTGTATACCGATAGCGCGGGTGGGGTTGCCATTCCATTAACACCCATTAAAAAAAAAACATTGAAACACATACAGAGTACGAAAAAAAGTTCTAAATGCTCTGTGTTTTTACTTTTAATGATAATGCACAAGGGTTTGTGAGTTTGTCGGCATAATGGAGCCCCGGGCGGCGGGCGGCGGGCGGTCACAGCTGGCGCGTCGAACCGTAGCCGACCATTTCCGTGCGAGTGCCACAGATTGTCAAACATGGCCTTTCTTCTCAATAATTCATGTAATTTCCACTCAGTTCCATAATAGTTTTTAACCCTTCGACCGTCAGCCCTGCGGACCCTTGATCGGCTTTTTCAACGGACAAAAAAGAAGTTTCTAATTTTAAACTGTCACTTGGTTTATATATATATATATATATATATATATATATATATATATATATATATTTATTTATTTATTTATTTATTTATTTATATTTATTTATATAACTGACTTAGCGATATAAATTTGTCGTGGCTAGAGTAATTATAAAATTTAGAAGGAAATAAAAATAAAAAACTACACTATAGTATATCATAACAATAGTTACTAGATTGTGTGTGTGTGTGTGTGTGTGTGTGTGTGTGTGTGTGTGTGTGTGTATATGTGTGAGCTCTTTAAATGGATATATGTATATATATATGTTTCAATGGAAATGACAAAATAAAATTAGAGGTTTTGAAGAAATATTTCAGAAAGTTTTTTTTATAAGTTTGTTTTGAAGAGTATGTAAAGAGATCCACTTCTTTAAAAAACTTATTATAAATTGACATTATACGTGCAAATATAGAGTTTCTACCATAATTTGTATTAAAAAAGGGTATTGAAAATAACGGTGTTCCACGCACACGACGGCGAGGAACATAGAATGTGATGGAGTTAAGGATGCGTGGACTATCAATATTCCCTCTGACAATATCATACAGAAATGAGGCATCCAACAGTTTGCGACGTTGGTCCAAAGTGAGAAATCTATAATATTTGCAGCCTTCTTCATAGGTCGGAAATCTATTCTTCCGCTTAAAGTTAAGGTATTTAACAAAACGAGATTGCACCTGTTCTATTCGATCCTTATAGATTTGGTAATGAGGTGACCATATACAACTAGAATATTCCAAAATGCTACGTACATAAGCAAAATATATAGACTTCAAACACTGTATGTTATCAAAATGTTCACAAACACGTTTTATAAAACCTAAGTGTTTGAATGCTTTAGTCACAACAATATCCACATGTTTGTCCATTAAGAATTTGTCATCAAAATATACACCGAGATCACGTACAAGATTGACACGATGGACAGGGACACTATCTATGGCATAATGAAATACAATAGGAGTCCTACGTCTAGTGAAACTAATAACTTGACATTTGTTATGGCTTATAGTTATTTTATTTCTTTTATAGAAATTACTTAGCGAAATTAGGTCATTTTGCAATTTATAACAATCCGAAGTATTTTTTATAACACGGTAAATTTTTTTATCATCGGCATATAATAAATGTTCAGAATTATTAACACATGTGTAAATATCGTAAAGATAGGCATTGTAAAATAAGGGTCCCAGATGTGATCCCTGAGGAACACCAGAAGGGACATCAACAAAATCCGATCTAAAACCTCCTAATACAACTGCTTGAGATCTATTAGAGAGATAGGAAATTATCCAACGAAGAAGATCACCGTGTATACCCAACTTATTCAATTTTTGTATAAGATATATATATATATATATATATATATATATATATATATATATAGAGCACCCAAAAAGTATATTTTTAAAAAGAAGATTTTTAATTGAGTCACCAAAACCAGTTCTAGCTACGGGTTACTCAATAGATACTTTATCTCATAA